TTTTTTTAATTAAGACAGATCAAACGTGCCCGATCACGAAAGGGTTAATATATTTCGGAATTGTCGCCCCAATACAATGACAATAATGTATTTCAATATAATCGCGGCAGAATAACGGAAGGGCACTATAGTGTACCTGGTTAAGCTACGGGGAATGTGAATCGCACTTTACTGAAAAATATACTGGACAGAAATACATAACCACCGTAATAGTATCTACAATTAAAATTATGGCTTAATTCTATTCCTTCTCAGCCATATTATGCCCTATGGTCAGCTAATTCAGTATTATTTTTTGGTTGCCTCGTCTCCACCCGTATATAGGTTAGGGATAGTGAGCGTGCTTTATGGCAAAATTAGCTAATCATTAGTAAGCAAGCCCGAGTATGAGAGATATGATGGATGGTGTTTGGTGGTTTGGTGGTTTGCTGGCCGCCATTTCTGCTGTCACCATCAGTATCTCCGTCAATTGTATCTAACACGCTAACACGCTGGCCAGCGCTGTAGGGGAAGAGTTCACAATCTTATGCTTAAATGTGGCCTGACAGCCTTTCCATGGATCTAATTCCGCCTGAATTAACACTCTACCAACAAAACAAGTGAAAGGCATAATAAACGCAAAGCACAATACGAACCGGTGGATATATTATTTTGCAATATCTCGAAACGATATGCGAGTACAACAGCGACTCGGGACGTGTACTATTATAACAGTATATTAAAATAGCGAAGGCAGTTATTGGCAATGACTAATCCAATGATTGCAGTAAACATGCTGGACGAGATCAATTTCTGGATCCGCTAGGTCTCCTGTTGCAGATCACACTACTGTAGATATTAGTAACAGTCGCAAAAGTTTGTTTTTGCATATGATGCACAGTTTCGTGGAAATTCGACTTATTAATAAACACGAATTCGTGATAATTAGCTTAAATAATAAGTTATGTAGAATGGAGATTCTAATATTTCGCACTTCAACTGTTTTTCCAATAAATCTCGATTACTGCGACAAATCACCAGGGATCCGACGAAAACACAATGCACCAGGTCAGGACTTTCACCGGAATTGGTAATCGAGCCGGCGTCTCCTTAACAAGCCACACTATCAGCCTGCAACCTCGTCCCTACTATCCACCGAAGCTTTTGAAGCTATTGAACGAAATATTAGCCAGTGTCTGCAGTGTACAGCGGAGTTAAACTGGCGTTCATACCAGGCTATTCGAAATGGAAGTTTTATAATAAATTGAAGGTCTTATCCGAGTCAGTTGCACTCAAATTGGCACAGATCCGAAAATCTAATGGCAAATGGCGTTTTATTTCATGTTTTTGTGAATGTTTTACTATGGAAGCCTTGTGACGTTTAATGAACGACCTGACATATCCTCAATCTGTATCTGCATTATACCCAGAACTCAATGTGAAACCTTTCTTGTCGAAAAATCGAGAACATAAGAACGAGTTATAGTTAATAATTCACCACTATTTGTAAAAACACACAAACCACGCCAGCTACTAACCGGGAAATCGACTATCTTTGGCTGGGTAACCCGCTTTTACAGGCTTTGCTTCAAAAAGCAAAAG